TTCCATCCCTACTACCCATACATCTACTGAACGGTCTGTTTCCATCTTATCATCAGTCTGTTTATTCATCAGTTCCTCAGCTATCTGTTACATAAAACAACACTATCTGTATATCCACTTGTTCATCCTTTCATTGTTTTTGCAGATTTCCTTTGTAAAATCTGAGTAACTTGTTTTAATTTTAGAAGTGGTTTCAAAATTTGAACAATAAATCTGGAATTATAGGACAGGTTAGATATACATATCTAAAAAAACTGACATGAAAAATGTGTAATAATCCTTTTATCAGATGTGTATAAAACATTTGTGAATAAAATAATTTAAAGTTCAAGGTTTTATGTCTATGCTCAAATGTTTCAGAAGGCTACAAGAAAAGGTGAAAGATCGAAAAGAAATTAGTAGGAGTACAGAAACATATATTTAACTACAAAGCTGTTTTTTTATCTGCTAGAGGAGCTATAGTGTGAATGCTAGGGAGTACAGACTTTGGTCTGATTAAGTAGATTTTTTTTTTCAAAACTTTAACTTTCTAATACTTAGAATGATGATAGAAAGTGGAATTTGGTGTTTCAGAATAAATTAAGGCTCTGTTTGTTTGTTTCTTGCATACCAAATCTTTTTTCTTTTTGTTTGACACCCTTTATTTTCATGAAAACAAATTACAATTGACAAAATATTCTTTTAAACAGCTGCTTTTATTCATTTCATTTGGTTGGTAGCGGTCCTAAATTTAAGGTGCAATCAAAACTGAACTCTCAGTCCTTCTCTTAAAGCAATTTAGGCGACCCTGCTCTTGTAAACGATGAAAATCTAACACACTGCTCGTAGTATCAACTAATACGTTTATCAGGTTGGGTACACATCTTAAAATAAAAAGTGAGGAATTGATGTCGCTCTGAACTACAGTAGCCGAGGAGTCCATTCAGAAAAAGATATCAATATTTTCGAATACTAAATCTTCACAAACAGCAAATTCAATTAATCGCTACAATCTTTTTATGGCCAGACGCTAATAGAACGTTAGTTATAAAAAAAACAATCCAAGTTCCTTTTCATTTGATAACAGGTTGGCAAAAGATAGAAGTCTAAAGTTGTCCTATTGAAGTTAAGCTTAAGGGTTTGGTAGCGAGAGTAAAATATGACCAGAGTTTGGTTTTTGGTAGCAGAAGGGGATTATATAAGGATTACTGTGTCTTTGTGTCTGTGGTGTTAAGAAACTGAAATGGAAGAGACGATGTAGCTTGATGGTGTTTGTTTACATGTATGTGTAATGGTGGGTGGTAAGAATATAATGCTCTCCGCACATTTGCATAGCCCTTGCCTGTGTATAGCCATGAATGTATACAGCTTTGTTTTATTTTAAAACTGTGCGTTCCCCCCCCCCCTCACGAGTGTGGAGGGTGGCTCAGTAATCGGATAATACCCCACAGACAACACCACTAGACAAAATATGAGGACTGGCTGGACCCCCTAATCTGTCTAGGAGCAGCCCCCTGCACACAACTCTCTCTGATCCATGAGCTCACACATGAAGGTGCACAATACGCTACAAGATTACAACAGCTATCACTCTCATCATTGCCAGCACAGTTCATTGATTCTGAACACTCATCACTTTAAAGAAATTCCCTTTTTACTTATTATGAATTTCAATGAAGAGAGATGAATATATAGATGGATAGGCAGATGTTTTATATTAAGTTTGACAGTGCAGCATATTTGCCAATGAGAGACAGTACTGTTTGCGTTTAAGGGGTATTTTTGTGCGAGACCGGTAATCTGTCTGCATGAACAGACGCCTTCCATAATAACAGACATATACAGGCACAAATACCCCTCTCCCCCATCTAGCGCTAATGAACTCTGGATTTGCTCTGCTTCCAACTCTGTGGCCAATCATTTGCAGCCTCGTGTCTAAATGGTGACCCTTGTGCCATCTGAGGCCACCAGCATGATGGGTGAACTGTCTGGGTAGCCTAATAGACTGGGGTGGGGGCAAGTAGAAATGGTAAATGAGCCAGGAAACAGGCAAACAATACAGGCCTCAAGTTGCAATATATATACTCCCCAAATAATAGTCCTGTTTTCTCAAAACATAGTTGAGTTATACAAGATCACCTACGATAAGGCGTGGAGAGGTATAAGACCCTCGAAGTATTACAAACTTATTTAAAGATATTGCGGGTTACCAATATTATGGCATTCACATGCAGAAAAGTAGCACATGTTTCAAGTCCTTTACCATTATATTCACTTTGAATAAGCTTTGAATAAGTTATTCACAGCTGGAAAGTCTTTCTGTCAAGTGACAGAAAAGTGAAGTAGCCTTATTTCAGTAAGTGAAAATTAATGCAGCAACAGTTGGGTCAGGAAAGCTCTGCAATCACTTTAAAACGAGTCAAAATTTGTCTTTACATTTTAAGGAATTCTTTGGTTTCTTCAGGGGTTTTAATATGAATTCGAGCATAACCAATCTAAAGCATGACATTCTCTATCAACAAGGTCTAAATTTCACCTTTGTATTTTTTTG